TTCACTAAAGTGAGAAATCAAAGTGAATTTCAAATGTAAGTAGCTGAACGGAAACATAGCTGATTTTTAATTATTCCCATTTCAGCTACTCTGGCCTTAAATTTGAAATTCACTTTGAATTTTCACTTTCTTAAATAACCCTGTGAATGTACTATGATTTTAACAGGGTTTATCACTTATAGAGTATGTATAAAGATGTCTGGATGTGTGTGTCTACAGATATTGATTGTATTTGCTTTTGCATTACAAATCCATGTTACAGTGCTGACACCCAAGCCATGTGAACCCTTTTAAGAGTTAATAATTGTGTAGGGATTTATAAAAAAAACTTTTTTTTTTTTTAAATCACTCCTTTCTGTTTCATTAGAGAATTTACCTTTTAGCTGAAAGTAGCAAGGTGAATGTTAGTGTAGGACCCATAGAAACATAGAATGTGACGGCAGATAAGAACCATCGGTCCATCTAGTCTGCCCAATTTTCTAAATACTTTTGTTAGTCCCTGGCCCTATCTTAAGTCTAGGATAGCCTTATGCCTATCCCACATATGTTTAAACTCACTCACTGTGTTAACATCTACCACTTTAGGTGGAAGGCTATTACATGCGTCCTCTATCCTCTCAATAAAGTAATACTTCCTGAAATTGTTTGTAAACCTTTGCCTCTCTAAATTTAAGATTATATCCTCTTGTTGTGGTAGTTTTTCTTCTCATTTTTCCTCCAAGCTATACATGTTAAGATCCTTTAACCTTTCCTTATAAGTTTTATCCTGCAATCCATGAACCAGTTTAGTAGCCCTTCTCTGAACCCTCTCTAAAGTATCAATATCCTTCTGAAGATACGTTCTCCAGTACTGCGTACAATACTCCAAGTGAGGTCTCATGTATGTATCTGTGCTTATAAGTAGGTTTGTGTGTTGCAAAGTATGTATGAGTGTGAAAGGCTATGTATGTGTGGCCAATCATGTACGTGTTCCTGTAGTGGAGAAATGGTCCCACACAACTATATTACACATGGACCCACAAATAATAGGTATAGCCCTGGTGCTCCGTAAGTATTTGATAGTGGTTACAAAACTAGTATTTGATTATTATTATTTTTACTTTCTTGTCACTTGGTGGCACTGTGTTACCACCAAATAAAGGCAGTTTATGCAAACAGAATATAACATTGAACAATGTGTTTGAACTGCTCTCACCCGTTCAGATTGCAAGCTGCTGTAGTCATCTTTGGTAGCAAATGGAAAAGGCTTTGCTTTTAGTGATTATTTTAAACCAACAGTGTTTGCAGATGTATTGTACCTTATCCGCTCAAGAGAATTGATCATAGAAGAATTTATAACAAAACACCTGCCACATCTATTATATTATTTTGGCAAAAAAGTACAGAAAATAAATCATTTACAAACTCATCAACTTGGTATTTTTTTATTAAACTAGCCAAAGGCTAATTCAATATATTTATGAAACTCAAATAAAAAGAAAGATCAAATTTGGGACTTTAATAATTCCCCACTTAGAATAGGAAACATTTCTATAAGTACTTATTTATTCTTGATTACATACAATATTCCATTTATATGATGGTAATAGATACCCTGAAACAAATGCACATATTATACCATGGGTCCCACTCTCCCCATTCACGTTTTTGGATCTTTATGAACAATTGGCTTTGCATTTGCTAATCTTACTATCTGCAGTTTAAAAATCGACAGCAATGTGTTTAAGCTGCAAAAACACATTGAGATAAAAACTTATTTGCAAGGATTATTGTTGCAATCAATACATGTTGATTAAACTCATAATTAGGTTAGAATTATTCTCTTACTATTGTATATCCCTCAAAACTCATTAGTGCAAAGTATATAATACCAAAAATAGCATTTAACCATTCACTATCTTCTCTATTATTCTTACCAGGAATGCTTAAGACAAGTAGGAAAAAAGGTCCAAATATGTTTCACATTTTAATTGACTGATATATGCCTACTTACACCCTTTACCCCACATTTTTCGCTCTGAAATACGTAAGTATGCAATCTTAACCCCTTAAGGACACATGACATGTGTGACATGTCACGATTCCCTTTTAAATTACAGAGGTCTGGTCCTTAAGGGGTTAAAGGACCACTATAGTGCCAGGAAAACATACTCGTTTTCCTGGCACTATAGCGCCCTGAGAGTGCCCCCTCCCTCAGGGTCCCCCTCCTGCCCAGCTCTCGGGAGAGGAAGGGGTTAAAATGTACCTTTTTTCCAGCGCCGGGCGGGGAGCTCTCCTCCTCCTCTCCTCCCTTTCGGCTGAATGCGCACGCGCGGCAAGAGCTGCGCGCGCATTCAGCCGGTCTCATAGGAAAGAATTCATAATGCTTTCCTATGGACGCTTGCGTGTTCTCACTGTGATTTTCACAGTGAGAATCACGCAAGCGCCTCTAGCGGCTGTCAATGAGACAGCCACTAGAGGATTTGGAGGCTGGATTAACCCTAACATAGTTTCTCTGAAACTGCTATGTTTATTAGAAAAAGGGTTTACCGTAGCTGGACCTGGCACCCAGACCACTTCATTAAGCTGAAGTGGTCTGGGTGCCTAGAGTGGTCCTTTAAACATGCATACGCCTGATCCTGAATATTATCTCAGCTGAATACTGTTTACCTCCCAACATTTCAGATGAACAATAATTTTAGGGGTGACTGGAAGTGTGGGCAGGGCAGGACTCTTCTGAGACATTTTAGGTGAATTTCGAATAACAATTTATGCAACTAAAATGTAATTTAGAACTAGAACAATGTATCTTATTTACACAACTGATTTCTAAATACATGTATCACAATTTAAAGACACATTACTGTATTATTGCTGTGGAGCTCTGTACACTCAGACACAACAACTTTATGGAGCTCCTAGACTAGAAAAGAGGGACAATAGGATAGATAAGAGGGGCAGAAGGATTTGGACCCAAAATAGGGACTGACATTCCTAAATAGGGACACTTGGGAAGTAGGATATTTTAATTTTGTTTTTATTATTGCTTGCATTTACCTATTGCATGTCTTAATAGGAGTCATCTTTGAGTAATCACAGCAAAAAACGATCTGTTTTCTAACACTTCCTATTTTTACCTGTACTATTGACAATACCTTGTTTACATATGCTCAAAACAAGTTGTTTTAAGTGACATCTCAGGCACTTCCTTCATTATCAGGGAACTTGCAATGTATGGATTTGTCAGTGTCATTAAATGCAATTTTACTTAATGCTTGTACAAAATAAAATGCATGCTTTAAGTCCATTTGGAGGGGTTAATAGGAAATAACTTTATAAAGTATGAAGTGGACTATATGGATTACCAGCACCGAGTCATATAATACTACTATTTTACAAAGTCAATAGTTTAAAGACAGTTTATAAGCACCTTAATTTTTTGGCTTATCCATTCATAACTTATTTATGATGATTTGAGAAATTTCTCACCATTGGAGCCTGGTAAAGCTCGGTTTGAAGTTTCACCAAATCCTCACATATTTGTGCACGCTACACTATAGCTGTGTATAATTACCTTTCCTTAGATTAATGTGTCAATCCATGTGTAATGTGCCAATTACTGCTGTGTAAAATATCACATCCGATCTTTGACAAGATGATTCATGTGGAAGGTGGAATGGGAGTTAAATGAGCAAGTCAAGGATATGAAGGATGGTGTTTATATACAGTGTCTGTTTGAGGTAAAAAAAAATACATCTTTTCATCCACTCCAGGGTGGGTTAGACAGAATTTAATCATCTAGCTTCACTTGTTCATTGTGATGCAACTGCAGGGATTATATATAAAACAAATTTCATTATTCAAGCTCCTCTAATTCTCACTTGTGACATCACTAACTGACATCATGGCTCAAGTCATCTGAGTCCAAGCGTTCCCTTCGAATCCTGTACCAGGCTTAAGGCATATCGCCCCCTGACGTGCTCGTTTCCCAACCGGTGCTGTAGGGTTAACGGTTTGTGAATCCTCACAGGCAAAGGTTAGGGCTAGGAGGGGGGAGAGGGAGTATTGCAGTTAGAAGTAGAGAAGAGAGTGAGATTGCGGTAAGGACCGCCATGCCCAGGGTGGGCTGAGTACCGAAAGTTGGTACTGTAGAGGCTGGCAATTGTAAACAACTGTTCATTAAACAAACTAACATAACATCGCGGGCAACTAGCCCAATATAGTTTTTAGTGGTTAACTAGTAATCCGTATCAAACTACATAGCTAGCATGTTACAATACTAGAGCTCATGCATCTGAAAATGTAAGGGCTGCACGCACATCTGTCACCAGTAAGAGTCCTACCTGTCAAAGAGGATTTGATTGCTAATGTAGGTCGACTAAGTGGGGTGGTGCTGTGTTTCCCTTGTTTAGGTATCGTCTTGCACTCTGTAACCTAGTGTGATCTTGGGTTGCTTTATGTAAATTGCAGTGTAGTGGAGGCTGTTGGTTAGTCAAAGGTGATTCATTCAGTGTGCCCCTAGCCTCAACCTCTGCGATGTGGTCTTGTGGTTGTGGGCTCGTTTGCAAAGTCCCCTGCCCCTCCCTCTCTTTGTCGCTGCTCTCTTTCATCAGGTCCCTGTGTGAGCTTCTACCCCTGTGTTAGCGGTCATTTCCCTCCTTGTATTATTTCCCCCACAGTGCAGCCAATCTGATTCCCACTCTGTGTTGAGCATCAGCTGGGTGTCAAAGTTATATATATATTTTCGTCAATTATACATCGGTATACCTAGCAATTTACATTAAATAGCTGTGATAAAATACTAGTGGCACAACTTGCACATACATTGCTATACAGTGACCAGTAAAACATATAAACAGGTATCAGAGTAATGTAAATGGAGATGGTGTGCACAGTTCCCCACCCCCCTTCATTTTTTATTTTTTTTGTTTTTGTTTTGTTTGTTCCCCCCCCTTTTTGTTTTTGTGTTTTGTTTAGTATTCTCCCACCCTCCCCTCCCCCCGACTATGGCCCATTTTGAGAGGTAGTGTGTATGGGAGCTAGTGAGAGGTGCGAGCTGCACCTAATCATGTCTACTGCATGTGTGTAGCTCCATGTGTTGGGTAGATAATCTTACAATCGGAGTCTTGTTCTCTGTCAGTCTAGGATCAGTAACTCCAGGTTTTGTAAAACATGACACTCTTTGCTAGCTGTGGCATTTATGGTTTCACCCTCTTCCACTCAGGTGAGAGTCGTGGCGGTGTCGAGGCCTTCTCTGTCCGCTTGCGGGTGGGTAGTCCCCATGTTCCGATGGCTTTCATCCCTTCCTCAGGGGAGAGTGCGTGTGGGAATGTCCCGTTACGTAGGATAATGAGGCGGACAGGATGACCCCATCTGTACATGATCTTATGCTCTCTAAGTATGTCGGTTACTTCTTTGAATGATCTTCTCCTTTGTAGAGTTACCACGGATAGGTCAGCAAAGATTTGTAGCAGTGCATATTTTGACGGTAGGTCAGTGCAATTTCTTGCCGCTCTCATAATAGCCTCCTTCACATGGAAGTATTGGAGGTGGGTTAATGTGTCTCGTGCTGTCTCCACTGGAAAGAATTTCGGTTTAGCCACTCGGTGCGCTCGATCAAGGATGTCCGGTGTCCGGTAGGAGGCACTTGAAATAGCCGGTGAGGAATTCAGGTATGTCTGCCGGTTTTACAGTTTTCAGAACGCCACGGATTCTCAGATTTTGTCGGCACGAGTGATCTTCTAGGCCTGAGATTTTTAGGTTTGCAATTGCAAGCTGGAGGTTCCAGGTTCTGGACATGATCAACCAGATCATTATGGGCCTCAGCGTATTCTCCCACGCGATGTTCGACGTGTGCTGTTCTTTCCCCCAGCTCTTTTCTCGACGCATTGACAGAGGATTGGATATTCTGCAATAGTTTATCCGATATTTGCTCCAAGCATGCTTTTAAGATATCCTGTGTAACCGGGATAATCCCCAGGTCTGGCGATATCTGCAGGGTAGTGTGTCGTCCCTGCCGCCATCTTGCTCATCCTTGTGCAGGCCGGAGACCTTACTGTGAGCTGGTCGGGCTGGGAAAAAGCTTGGCTTGTGCCCTCAGTCGGGGTGCCTCTTACCCTTTTGCTGGGCGACGTTGTGGAAGTGGGTGTAAACTGGTGTTAAGCTGGATTTGGTGATAAAAGTCATTATTTGGGCTAGTTTGAAGCGGAGCTCTTGTGCCGTGTGACCATGCGCTTCAGCGTCCAAGCCATGCCCCCCTGTTTTTTATGTTTTAATGTTAAACAAGGGTTCCCAACAGCCCATTCTCTCTCAACTGCTTGGAATAATAAGGAAACATTGGCCTGAGCAGCAATGGGTGGCTGTTATTGGCAAAGAGTGTCAGCTGACTGCATTCAGCCTATCAAAGCACCCAATGCCGGTATGAGTTGGAAGTATGTAATCTCTGACTTAGCCATACCTTTGGTTGTGTGTGGCAAAGGACTCTTATTTAGTGTTAACTGCTTGAAAAAAGGCTATGGACTCCAAGCACTATATCCAGTTCAGTGACATGAAATGCTAATAGTGCCTACACTGTCCTTTTAAAGATGAACACCATTGAAATGTACAATTTAGTCCACAGAAAGAACAACATCAAACACAGCTTGGGATACAAATGAGCAAGAGGTAGGAAATTAACTCATGTCATGTCTAAACATTACACACTTTTCAAGGCAATGAATTGGTGGGTAATGGAAAGTCCATAGTTCATTCACTTGCCCCTCCTGTGCTTTTTCAAATATATTTTAACACATTTAATGAATTACAAACAGCCTGTGATTACTGCCTCAGTCAAATTCTTTTTATTCAGTACAAGGAGGTTATGTCACACTCTCTGCAACCTTCATATGAAGTAAAACTGATTCTGAATTGCTACCTGAGCATGAATTTTACTGTGAACCTTCTGAAATCTACCTAGGGCTAGGGGGATATTAAGATGGTCTTTCAATTTCCATATAACCTCTTCCTATTGTATGGTCAAACAGCAGAGGTCCGCTACATATATACAATGCATGCATGACACATTGTATTTCATTCCATTAATCACTGCATATATCAGCTCGTTCATTGATGCACATTCTGCGTTTTCTAGTGAAAGATCTATAGAAATTGAAGTTAACAGTTTCACATCTTGTAGTTTAGATTACTGTCTGTGACTTCGCACATTCATCTACTACACAAGTAGCAAAATACCATTTCATTTTGAACAGAAACTTCTTCAAGAGGAAGAGATTTGCATTGTAATTCAAATATTATAATCTGTTCTGCATATGGGTAGAAATGGCAGCGAAGGGAACACAAAGCGTACCTCCCTCCCTGACGGAACACATCCAAATGAAAGCACTCACCCTTTGTATACCATGCTCTGTGATGTTCTCTACTCTGTCTTTATGCATTTATAATGTTAAAAGGGGATCTGGAAAAATGGAAGCACAGATGGTGAATTACTGTGAGTCATACAGAAGATAATAGGAGCAGTGCTCTTAGCAACACCCACTCCTGTCTCTCTGTCTCTGCAAAAAGCAGACAATGCAACTCTGTGAATTCCGCTACCATCCTGCTGAGCCCCCACACACCACAGGGTAGCTGAAAGTGTCACCGCGTACCTAGTAACGGGGACAGAACACCTCTGGCAATGCAGGTGCTCCGGACTAGAGTTCCAAGTGTTCTCATCCACACAGCTACAGCCCACAGCAAATACTGTCAGGAGTTACCTGTTTCTGGGTAGAATGGGAAACCATAAGAAATAGATGGTAATTGAAAGGATGCTGAATTCTGAGAGAAGGACAAGCATTCATTTAAGATTTATTTTATAGGTCTGAGACAAGAAATTTTAACCACCTGGTCCAATGCCCATTAATGGGTCCCCATGTTGTTTTAGAGCAGCAGTGCCCAAAAGGTAAATCCCCAAATGTTTTAAAACTAAAGCTTCCATGATGCTTTGTCATTCTAAAGGCATGCAAAGCATCATGGGAGTTATAGTTCTACAACATCTGGGGTTCTACCTTTTGGGCATTCCTGTTTTAGTGGACTCTCACTGGAACATAGTACCCATCAAGCCCTGTAAAAAGGATAAAGTAGAAGCTGTGCATTCCCCAGTAAAATGCTGACCTCTCTGATACTGAGAAGAGTCTATAGAAGGTATTTTCTAGATTTGGTGATCAGAGTATATCGTTGTGCAATTGAAGAATGGCTCATCAAAACCAATGCCGTAGATATTATTTAAGTCACTGGCAAGAAATACTCAGAACACGTGGATGAAGGTATTTATGTGCCTTATGAAGAGAGGAATTCAGAGTACTTTCAGAATGTTCTCCTTATCATCTCACGTTTTTCTCATTACTGCACCGCAATTCCAATCATCATAAACACACCACAACATGGAGTTATGGCCTCTCGTTAACTTATGTGAGCTACCGCATTGTGAATAAATTTGTCAGGGGATAGCTAGCTACACAGTGATGCCTGTGGTCCTTACCTCGCTCTGTATCCCCTATTCTCTGCCGTGAGGGGGAGTAGGGGTGAATTTAATGACAGCTCTTTTATCAGGTTTAATTTCATGGCTGCTGTAATCAGCGCTGCGTGTTCCAGCTGTGTGTGGCTCCTGGCATGAGAGGCACTCATTAGCAGCAAACTGTGAACATACAAATCTATTAAAGACCCTTATAAGTTATCTAAGAGTTGTAAGGCATGTGCACAAGCCACACAATCTTGTACAGCAGGGCCACAAAATATCACAGATGTCACAAAGTGGCATGGGCAAATAAGTCAGCTCGGAGATATACTTTAAAGAAACTGTAAGCTTTTTGCTCTATAACCCATACAAAGAGAATAAGTGGTTATGGTACTTAAGTGGCACCATTTAAGAATTTGACCATAGACTAAACTAAACTAACAATTTAAACATGCAAAATTAAGCCCTGCACTCAAACTCCCAGTCCTCCTGAGCGGCAGCAATGACTATAGTACACATCAGCCCCAATACATACAATAAAAACCATAGAAATAATGTTACTTGCACACTATCCCAAATGCCTATGCACATTTAAATAACTGGATTTTTGTTTTTATTATCACTCCAATGGCCGCGTAAGATCACCTGCCATGAATTGGCAAAAGCTCTTACAGTGAAGGAAAAAAGTATTTGATCCCCTGTTCATTTTGAACGTTTGCCCACTGACAGAGAAATGATCAGTCTCTAATTTTAATGGTAGGTGTATTTTAACAGTGAGAGACAGAATAACAATAACAAAAAAATCCTGAAAAATGCATGTCAAACAAGTTATACATTGATTTGTATGTCAATGAGTGAAATAAGTATTTGACCCCTTCGACTTATACTCGGTGGCAAAACCCTCACAAATACAGAAAAAAGTGCAATATATAGTGGTGCTCAAAGCATGCAGCTAGTAATTGTGGAGACAATCACAACAATTCCACCAGATATAGATACAACAAAACACAAGATAAAGTGATGAGCGCAAAGTAATAAGATATGTGTGTATAAAATATATCACACCCACACTAGTGATATATCCTAGTTAAGTGGTGGAGAATAAAAATAAATAGATTTACACTAGAGGGATTCTTGCAATGATGTTCTTATACATAAAAGGAAGAAAAAAACAGAAAAACTCATAGGGCAACACAATGATTCATATAATTTATATCCAATAAGTATCCTCATGAATTTACACTCACTGGCTTGGCCACTCCAGGACCTTAATATGCTTCTTTTTGAGCCTTTCAGTTTTTGTCTTGGCTGTGTGTTTTGGGTCATTGTCATGCTGGAATACCCATCCATGACCCATTTTCAATGCCCTGGCTGAGAGAAGGAGGTTCTCACCCAAGATTTGACGGTACATGGCCCCGTCCATCATCCTTTTGAAGCGGTGCAGTTGTCCTGTCCCCTTAGCAGAAAAACGTTTACACCTCCATGTTTGAAGGTGGAGATGGTGTTCTTGGGGTCATAGGCAGCATTCCTCCTCCCCCAAACATGGCGAGTTGAGTTGATGCCAAAGAGCTAGATTTTGGTCTCATCTGACCACAACACTTTCCTCTGAATCATTCAGATGTTCATTGGCAAACTTCAGACGGGTCTGTACATATGCTTTCTTGAGCGTGGGGACCTTGTGGGCGCTGCAGGATTCCAGTCCGTCACGTCGTAGTGTGTTACCAATTGTTTTCTTGGTGACTATGGTCCCAGCTGCCTTGAGGTCATTAACAAGATGCTCCTGTGTAGTTCTGGGCTGATTCCTCACCGTTCTCATGATCATTGAAACTCCACGAGGTGAGATCTTGCATGGAGCACCAGGCCGAGGGAGACTGACAGTTATTTTGTGTTTCTTCCAGTCCATTCCTCTTTGTCTTGTAGTCCATTCCAGCCTTGTGTAGGCCTGCAATCTTGTCCCTGACATCTTTGGAGAGCTCTTTGGTCTTGGTGCAGAGTTTGGAATCTGATTGATTGATTGCTTCTGTGGACAGGTGTCTTTCACACAGGTAACATGCTGAGATTAGGAGCACTCCCTTCAAGAGAGTGCTCCTCATCT